AACGAACAAACAGTTTAATGATGGTCATTCAACACATCACTCGGATATAGGGATATGATTTTGATTTAGAGAATAGTGTTTCGATTGCATGAATGAGTTAGCCATTGTCGTGTGCTCATTTATTTATGTAAAGTGATGCGTGACCTTTTCGAGTGGTTGCCATCTGTTGTTTGGTTGTCTGAAGAGGACGTGTTTGAATCACGTTCATAATCAAAACAATGATAAAGTAATGTAAATAATCATTAGCAATGAGGTCAATAACATTGTGAACTAGTAAACGATAGTCATTGTTTACCAGAATGCCGTAATAATTTTTAGAATTTTTTGGAGTGAGACAAGGATGTTTTCAATCATTAGACATTTGTCGTGGTTACCCAGTCTCATTATTAGACCAGATTGAAACTAGGATTTCTACCAAGGATTTATTCATCTACTTTGTCGACATTGATTCCCTGTAGAAATTTACCTGCATACTGCAACATATGGTTTACCACAAACTACAGACGGTTGACAAATTTGACTCGCCTATTCCACACTGGTATGAACAAGTAAAAAGATGAAACAAAGGGGCAGGTGGCCCACAACGACATCGGTTCCCATGAAGATCTATATCACCACTTCACAAACTCTTCAGTTCACTCACATTTCATCATGAGACAAACCTCAGCTCAAGTAAGCTATACTGTACGTACGTTTCCATATTGAAAACTGCTCTATCAATCTTTCAAGTTGTAGTTGACTGGTCTAGTCAACAAATGATAAGGATTCAACAGAACTTTTCAACAAAGTGGTGGTTGCAATACAATGGTGATAGAAGCAGTCGCAAAAAGTGTATGATCATTTATTCCTGATTTGAAGTAATCTGTGTTCATAAGCTATTGATGGAATTATTTAACTTTCATAGTGGAAATATTTATAAGTTTAAACTGATGGACGAACAACTTACAAAATGATTGTTTTCACTCGTCAGTCAAATAAATAATAATAATCATATTGTAAATTATTACAAAATGATAATAACAACTATATTTCATATTCTAGGTGTGCCGAAGCAGCAGCAGCCATACATCTAGGAAAACCAGAACTGTGTGTCAAATGAGATTGGTACAACCTCTTCTTCTACCATGGTCTTAATGTCATTTCATTTTCATCTTCATACTCTTCTTCTTTTTTGGATATCTGCTTCCCCTTCCATCTTCTCCTTAAATCTTCAATCCACAACGGGTTTATTTCTGTTTCTATGATCCTCCTCATTACATTTAATTTCAAATTTAACATTTTATCTTATCATGCTGAGCCATCATTTCCCAGTGATAATTTCCCCATCTATCTTTTGATGAGTATTTAAACCATTAACAATCAAACGATTATTAATTTCCCTGTTTACAAACGACCTCTTAATACTTTTGTTAATTCTATCTCACTATCACCATGTCTAATTGAAGTTCATTATCATCCTGAAAAATTAAGTATATATGTTTGCAATTGCACAGCGGAAAAGAGAACTCATCGTTGATGCAATCTATCTAATTTAACAGTTATTTTCACATATTTGCATGTGCATCTCAAAAAATATATCATAACAAGCATTCGGTTTCACAGAAATTTATTGACAGAATAATATTGAAAAAATCTAGCATGTTACACTTAGAAGATCTAAGCGATTACCATGTTCGATTTTATCTGGTCATTACAGACTAATGAATGAACTCTAATGTACATTGATATGAAACAAGCTTGTCACATATATACAAACGTCTGTGTACAAAACACTTTTACTTTCGATGGATAATAATAATAATAATAATAATAATAACTATAATAATCCCAGTGTCAATTTTCATCTACGCTGTATTTGTTAATCATTTTCAATTTTCTACTACCACAGTGATTGGTCAATTAATAAATAAATAGATAATTAGAGATTATATCTCTTCCAGATTTGATCTTATTGTTCCGAAAACCATATTTCCCATATAAATATTCAGTAATTCATGCAGTTCTCATATCAACCGATCCGCAGTTGATGTTTGCATTATTCAACATAACTGACGTCGGAAAACGAGAAACAAACGAAAACAATAACTTGAAAACAAAAAATCGTTGTGGTTTAACCGATTTTTCAAACCAATTGTGATGAACAATAGAGTAGAGAACTCAAATACTCCATCTTTTCGAAATCTTGTGTTCGATAATAATGACTTGTTACTATACCAGTCATCAGTCAAAACAATTTGAATGGAAACGGATGTTCCAATATATTGAATTGTGTAAATGTTGGATGTCAGAGTGGGGTAGTATAGCATGTGATTTCATGATGATGTTCAACGAAATAATACACAATAGAAATCGAATGATGTTTGATTATTAAATTTGTTTGTTGATGGATAAACTTCTAGTTATTGCAATTATTGTTATTGTTATTATTATTTACTTTATTCAGTGTTGTATTTTGGTACAATGTAAAATTCTCAGCACTATTAATGTTGGGAACTCGTCGTAAGTTGTGCAGTGAGGTAATCATCACGTGTACAAAATCGAAAGTGTGAGAAGTGGTTCGTCCACATATACTAGTGATTTCTTGGTCTCATAAACATATCTAGTGATTTGTGTATATTTAAATCAATTTACATTATTATGTCAGATGTTGGAATTGGTTTAACAATGTTTCAAGTCCGATTTTCCCTACGCCTCTTACCTCGTCTGTCTCATCAATCAACGTATCTAGTGTTCTGTGTACGTGATTATGTGATGGTATTAAACGGATTACTTACAATGGGTCATTTGCCATGTTAACAATATAATGATACATAAATAAATATAAGTGTATAATCCGATAATAGAATATTTATTAAAACAAATGCATGTCACAAGTGATAAAATAATAGATATATTTTACGTTCAAATTCTAACGTAACGTAATAAAAATATACAAAATGTAAGTGAAAGCTTTCACAGTTTCATAAAACCATCAGCCTAGTGAGCATTTTTCATTATATAATTAAAGATAGAACAAGGAACGGCTGTTATTTTGGTTTGAATATTCATATTTTCGGTTGTATGTAAAATGTATCTAAATTAACCGCATTGAAAAGTTTAGATGAAATTCAGCGAATGTATCATAATGTTCCCGGATTATGGACAGCACGTCAACTACTGACAGAATGGGAGAAAATGGAGCTGTTTATTAATTTTCCGAGATTTATTATTAAACGCTACCACTCAATTCCGCTTGAGCAACCATTCATGGTCATGAAATTAGTAACAGAAAAAAAAGAAACCAACCAAATATAATTATTCTGCATATTTCTGTTACAATATAAAGATCGTTTGAAGTATCATTTTTCTTCCCACATATCTATTGCCTTTTGCCCAATCATTTATCAAATATTTGGTGTGATTTTTAAGTATGTAGTTCGTAAACGTATTTTCTTAGTGTCATTTGATCTAAATTGTATTACATTTCAGTATTTTACAAACAAACCCATATTCATATTATGTAATTTTCAAACAATGTTATCCTTTAAATGAAGGAATATGATTTGATTCTTAGTTTTGAATAATAATCAAATAACCATTATTTTATAAACCTAATCATCATTTATAGAACTGAGTGAACAAAGCTATGTAAAACGAAAAACTCTGTTAAGATTGTCAGTATAAGAATTCGGAGCATAATTAAATTGGTAGAAATTTATGAACTGCCTAATCTAAATAACATCCATGTAAGTGTTTTTGGTTTTGTTACTCTATATCAGTTTTGTTTATACTGTGCTTATATTGTGAGTCTCATTCAAAGAGGTAATAAATATTGATTATAATTAGAAATCTCTTTGTTTTGGTTTTATTTAAAAAAGTATTGGTTTTCATGGTAACTGAGAAAGAATTATTATCCATTATTATTGGTTTTTCGTCAGTATAACAATAAGTAAACATTATATTCTCAGTTATTTTGGACTTATTATTATAAAACTATGGGATTGTAGCGAACGAGAACAAAAGGGAGGGACATTCAAATGAATTCGAATACAAAAATTACAGAACATTTTAATAAATCTTGAAAACGATATAGTAAATATAAATAAATAAAATATTTTTAATATCCCAATAAGTAGAAAAACTAGATTTCCTGACGTTTCGCGACTCACCAGATCACAATTAATCCAATTTTTTCTCGGTTTTTTTAAAATTTGGATTAATTCTGATCTTGTTATTTATTCTCTGTATAAAATAGCTTACACTGAGTCACGAAACGTCAGAAAATCAAAATTTTCTACTCATTGGGGATATTACAAAAATATTACTTAATTACAGCAATCTACCCAATGATCAAATTTTTCAAAATCTTGGTAACGGTACCATATAGTAAATACTTTATTTGCAAAATATCAATCAGTTATCTCAAACTTGACTGTTTTTTTCTACAAATGTCAATCAATAGTTTCAGACTTCATTGTTCTCATTCCCTTTTCTTTAATCTTCTTAACCTTCTATCTTCAGACTTTTTACTTTCTATCGTTGATACATACTACTTATATCAGTAGCACACAACTATTATTATGACTTCTCAATTCATATAATAATATTTATTCAATTTATAATGATGTATCTATAAACTAACATATAGATTGGTAAATATAGTTTTTCTATTGACTAGACATATTCTTTCATTCTGATTGGATTATTCTATCAGTCTCTGTAGTTAGATTTTTTCATTTTATTATTATTTTGTAATTCATTAAAAATTTATTAAATTTTTTGTTGTTGTTATGGCTTTTTTTTCTTTTCTTTATTTTAATCCAAATCATAAAAATTCTTATTCCAAGTGTTAGTAACAATGAATTTATTGACCAAATAATTATCATTACATAATTGATTATTGATTTTTTTGAAATGGAATCATTTTACAAAGTGTAAATAAAGAATAAATTAATAAAGTACATTAACAATTAAATGTATTTTATTAAATATTTGGAAATAATAAAATAATAATAATCTATAGATGAATAATTTAACAAGATTTATTTTAATATCAAAAACTGACAAAATTAATTTAGTAAGTTCATTTGAATATAGTTTTTTTTTTTAATAAAATTAATTAAATTATTTAATTACAATTGATTATTCACAATTAAATATCAGTGATTTATCGATTTTCGATTGTTGATATACTAATAATGTATAAAGTCATTCCATAGAAATGTGTTTTTATATGATCAAGATGACTAATATATTTCAATTAGAAGCTGAAGGAAATGAATATTAAATGTTACCATCACACTCTATAATGAAGTCATTTCATTTATTTTAAGAATGAATAAACATACTTTAAATGAAAATAGAGAAAAAATTAGGTTTAAGATTGAATTATCACAATTTGTAAAGATAGTTTTCATAGCTTTTAATTGATATTAGCTGAAAACTTTTTATAAATCAAAGGATATAAGATAGTGATTTCTTTACAATGTATGATTTGTCAATAGTTTATAAACTAGAAAGTTCTCTAAAAATAAGTAAATGATTCTTATATTTCGTGGTTGAATTTCAGTCATTGGAACCAAGATAATATATTTAACGTTAGTTTGTGCAAAAAATGAAGGAGAGAGACTTTTAGGAACGAAGTTTAAAAATGAAAAAGTTTTTAAGACAAATTTAGATAAATAAGTTAATGGATAATTTCTTTATACTAGTATGGGGTTGTGGAGACTATTAAGTTTTAATTGAGATCTTGAACCAATTGATGTTAGACCATCACAATTGAAAACCTGGAAGCACTGGACGGCCGTTTCGTCCTATTGTGGGACTCCTCAGCAGTGCGCATCCACGATCCCGCGAGCGGGATTCGAACCCAGCGCCTTCGGTCTCGCGCGCGAACGCTTAACCAACTGGACCACTGAGCCGGCATCCAATGGTGTCCTCTTTATAATTGATTGATCATTGAATGTTGATCAATGTCATGAATGTCAAATCCTTCTTAGTGAAGATCTAGTTCTATCGATCGAGACTCACTGTAACCACCAGTCTAGGTGACTCAACATTGAGTGCACTATGTTGAGATAAGATTGTGGTTGGAGGTAATCAAAAGAAAACTTCGGACCTATTTGGCACTCGTCATCAAAGTGTGCCTGTAATCTTGATGGAACTGGTGCTCACCGAGAGTTTGGATCCTGTGTCACTCAGCTTCACAGTTAGAAACGCTACCATTGAGCTTTTCGGGACGCGACTGACTTCCTGTAGGACTGAAATGTATCTACAATTGATTGACCATTAAGTAGTGATCAATGTCATGGAAATCGGGTCCTTCCTAGTGCAGATCAAATCCTGTCGACCTATTTCTTCATTTTCTTGAGTGCTTTTTACTTTCTAGCGCACTAACAAATGATTCTTAAACTTGCACTTGAATGAAATACTTATTCAACTAGTTAAGCTGAAATGTTAAAAGTCAAGCGTAATATGAGAATAATAATGACAATTGAGGTTTATCGATAATTATAAAACAGAAAAGAATATCAAAGAAATTGATGAGACGTCTTATTTAATACTTGCGTAACATATAGGTGAGACCACAAAAATATAACATAATAACTTGAGTTTGAAACTCTATTTCATTTATTGATGCAATTACGGAAGTAACACGTAAGAAGAACGTCACAAAATGTCTCTCGGATGTACCTTAGATATTTTCCAAATTAAGAATTTATCGATCGAGAACCTTACTCAAAACTATGTCTGTTTTTGCAAATTTATTTAAACTGGAAGTCATGGACTGATATCTGTATAAAATGGACTACCTTTTTATGATTGAAACGTATAAAACACACTAATCATAGTTCTTTTTAACCAATTTCTGTATAATCTATCTGATGTAAATATCAGTTTGTGAATCTAGATACACACTTTATCTGAAAAATAAAACTACAATATTTTCAGTAAGTACTCCTTCCCATCTCAGGCACGACAGCAAATATAAGCATAATTTCACTACCTATTATTTACACAGTACTTCCGTATAACGTTTTAGTTACTGAATATGATTAAAATAGTTCTCATCAAGTTATTTTTATTTTAATAAGATTTAAACCTATAAAATCGCACAGAAGTGTATAAACATGGCTGTTTTCTTAAATTGACTGTTTTGTAATGTGATTAATGTTGCCAGTAACATTCCAATCCATGCAATGTTTTTAAACAACTGCCTGAATATTTTTTGAGTTATTTTATCCACACAGGAAGAGTATTTACTCCAAGGTTATTTTTAAAATGATATTCATGCTTTTTAAATTTTAGCACAGATATAAACACATTATGCAGTGACATACAACCAAATCACATTATTACCCTCACAGTATTACAGAGTAAATCTTACCATTTAAGAGTATTGCATAATAGGCCTTATCATCACAGTACCTTCAGTTAAAGTAGTTTCAGAATAGTAAGTTTAAATAATCAAACAATGTTTAATATAATTAAGCTGAACGATACCTCAGTTAATTTAAAATCTTTGAAGATATATAAACAATAGTCTGTTTTATATAATAAATAAGTCTACCTATAAATCAAACAGTTTTCTTGTATGAAGAATGAAAAGGTAATGCATTTTGATATTAGTTATACTGATAATTGGTTGATTTAGATTATATCCTAAGATTTAATTCTCACAAGACTTCTTTCTGCTGTAGATAAGTTAAAGGTTAATCCTAAATTGATAAACTTAAAGATGGAAATGCTTTGTTAAATATACAAAAAATAACGTTATACGGTTATACAAAACTTGAATAAAAACTTTTCAGTTGTTGAGTTCGTGAGTCAACTCAAGCTAGACCACCATGGAAAACCTGGAAGCACTGGACGGCCGTTTCATTCTATTGTAGGACTCCTCAGAAGTGCACATTTACGACCACACCTCGTAGGGTGGTTTAGTGCTTAAGTGCTCGCGCGCGAGACCAGTAGGTCCTAGGTTCAAATCCAACGAGCCGGGGTTGTGGATGGGCCGTCCAGTGCTTCCAGACTTTCCATGGTGGTCTAGCTTCAACTGACTCACCATCTCAACAAATGAAATTATTAAAATCTCTACAAAACCCCTTCTGATACTAAAAACTATGCATCATTAAAAATACTTCCTCATAAAGACTCAGTTACTCAGTTTAACAGTTTGTTAACATTATTTAATGATCAGTCATTTTTTGTAACTTTATGAGTTAAGCTAAGTAACAAATGATAGTTTGTTCTTGTTTAATTAAAGTAAAATAAAAAAATCAGACTGTGATGTAACAAATTTACTCAAAATATTGTATATGTAAGAAAATATAATTAAAAAAAGAATTTCAGTGTTCAGTCGTTTGAAATGTCTGAAAACCAGTATGTTATTTTTGTTGAACACTGTATCAGATATAAAAAGAAAGAAAGAAACTATAACTGAAAACATCTCAAGAGAGATATATGAAAAAGGAATATTGGTTACTTTACCGACTCTGACAAATGACTAAAAAATCCCTTAGAGAATTTACATAGATACATATATTTATTAATAAGCTATTGATAATTATGTGAATTCTGTGCATAATTTAATACACATTTTATTAAGTCAACTGAAAATAGTTAACATAGTAATGAATAACAAAACACATTTTCCATGTGTTGGATACTGTTAAGAGTGCAATGTATCATATAATTGGAGGGGGGGAAACAAAGTTTATCATTTGAAAGCATTTGAAAAATATAACAGTCTGAAATATAACCGACCTAAGTTTTATTAAAAACAAAATGTAAATGAGGTAAAGATGAACTCATACAAGTTTCATCTAATTTCTTTGGTTTGATTTACCCTACCTGAAACTTTTATCGAAGAATATATTTTGATATAATTAAATTTAATGTACAAACGTTTCTATGATGATAGGAACTTTATGAATGAATGCCATACCATATTATAAGAGATGTTGAGTTCTGTAAGTTCGTTAAACTTAATATCTATTATAATCATTTAGAATCCCAGTGAATTAGATATTTCATAGCTATATGTAGTATATCTATGATTATGTTCTTTCATTAACCAATCAACATCGGAAGTAGAATGGATCACTTTAAAAAAAAGTATATTGGAAAGGTTCAGTGTTTTCAAAATATCTGTACCAAGTAGAGGAACCAATAAACTAATTTATTGTTATGAAAATATATAGGTATTTAGGTTCTAGTTATGCATATATTTGATGGTTAATGATCCAATTTATTTCGATTGTGTAGAAATGTAGCATAAATGTATTAAACTAAATTTATCTACCTACATTAACGATATCAAGATTTATATGCATAAATAAGTACAGATGTGTAAAATTAGTAAAATGTTTATTTTATTGGACTGTCTTCATCCCAATGTTTTATTCTAGATAATCCCTTGGTGATACTTTATGTCAACTATATGAACCAATATATATATGAATAGCGAATTCCTTTGTTACGTAATGTTATGTGAATTGTGAGTAAATTAAAGTTGATAAGTTTAAAAAAATTGCATAGTTTCTAAAAAAAATCTTTTAACAAGTAATTTTGACATTCACGAAAATGCAAAAAATAGGTTGAATAAATTCATAATGATTCTTTCGTAAGCTTCATTATCGTTTATTTCTACCAAATAATTCATCAACTCGTATATTATGTTATAAAAGGCTTAGTTGACATCAATATATATATCGACTTTTATAACGTTTTTGACAGTTTTGTTCTTTGAACTAGATGGTTTGGTCATGGTTGTTCTTCTGTTGTTCTTCTCCTTGTATTATGTTTAATATAAACGATTGAAACATAATAATGATCGTCAATGATCGTAATTTTAAACATTAATGGTTCATTTTTGAACATTCTTCGAATAGAAATTACATTTATAAACGATATTTTGAAAATAGTATGACCAATTATTAAAATGTCATCAGATAAAATAATCATTGTCAATAGTTTTAACTGATATTAATGTTTGTTAATAGAATCCAAACAAACCAAGCTACCGGATAGACGTTTAAGACATCTGGATTGTTAACGTAATTAGATACAATCCGATAA